GGTGCCCCACCCGGAATGCGCCCACCCACAGACACTGGCGCGCACAGAGGCTGTGAGGGGCAGACCAGAGCCTTCACGTGGCCTCAGTCTGCCGAGCGCTGTCACTGCCACACCTCCACGCTGGCCAGCACAGCTTCCGGAATACCATTCACTAAACGTAAAAACAAGGCCATCTTGCCCTACAGAGTAAAACCTAAAAGCAGTGCAGAAATCCTGCCGAAACATTTTCTTGCGTAGGTAAAGTTGATCATTGGTATAGTATTTCTTACTGACTTAGAATATGTCTGACTCAACATGATCAAAATTTGGGGTGGTTTTTAATTTATTTTTGAAACCTAATCAGAGGCATTTATATCATTAGTGAAAAACCATCTTTTCCATAGCAGTGTTCCAACGCAGGATGCCAAGTTTCTCAATTCCAAAAGTAAAGAGTTATTATAAATCACTTGCTCTTAGGCCCTTTCATCTTATTCTGATGTACTTAGAGTTTAAAAAATGTGACAGGCAAGCAAGTCCCTGAGACGGGTCTAAGTGGTGCGTTCTGATGGGAAGTGCTCCGTGTGCATTTACATCTCCGACCTCTAGGTGGCGACCACACCGAGCCTTGTGACCAGCAGTGCAGCAACCACCCTCACGGTCAACCCTGTCCTCCCTCTTACCAGCGCCGCGGTGACCAGTCTCTCTGTTACAGGTAAGGCCGCTGCCGGTCCTCCCTCTTACCAGCGCCGCGGTGACCAGTCTCTCTGTTACAGGTAAGCAGCTGCCGCTGCCGGGAGGTTTCCATGACAACCTGCCATTAAACTATGAATCCAGGTTCTAAATAAAGATAGACGTTGCTTTAAAAGTTTATCTATGAAAACCCAAACTTTAAAACAAAATCAGACATAATTGATTATGTCAGAAAAACTACTTTTGCCCAAGAATTTTCTCCTTTTGTCCTTTCTGACATTAGTTCATCTTGTGTGTTGCTCCCAGGTTTTCTTTGAAAAACCCTAATTCTTTTTTATATAACTCTTTTTATTAAAAACCTTCAAGAGCTAGGACCAGCAGTTAGTATAATGGCTATGTCACTGAACTCCCATGTAGTCGACCACAGTTCGAGTCCCGGACTCGGTGGCTTAAACTCAACGCTAGGCACGTGTGCGTGCGTGCCCAAGATCCCGAGAGGAGAATGGAGGAGGAGGGATTGTGGTGTGACCATCCCCCCTGGGGGGGGAGTGTGATTTCTCGCTTTCTGTCTTTTTGGCCAGCGCAGGGGTCCTATAGCAAAAACATCTCAAAAAAAAAAAAACCTTCAAGAGCTAAAGCATTTTTGCATTTAGGAAAATATACAAATTTATTGATTCATACTAGGTAATTTTCAGTCTGGTCTTAATTTCCCC